CCGAGAAATGTTTTAGCTTCATTGAAATTTAAGCACCTGACAGACACCGATTGGACAATGTCTACTTTCTCTGAAACAAGAGCCAAACAATGTGACAGCTGAAACTGAAAATCATGGAAGTTTGCAATGATGTCTTTAAAAAATGATCTGTCCATAATTTTATGCAAATGCATGTTGTGAATTTTCCTAAGTTGGCAGAAATACCAAATTTTTCTTTTGATCAAAATACTCCTTTGACTAACCACAATGACTGACAGAAGTTTCTGGTAATGTTAACATATCGATCGTAAATGAGATTTTAAGAAAAAATCTGTTCCCTCTGTGGTTGACTGTAGCAGATTTCCAGTTTCACTTCTATTTGTTAATTTTTTTCACATTTTTTTCTCATTTACAATGCAAGAATATTTCCATATTTCTGGCAATGTGAAGAATAAATGCCTGAGTATGAATTGTAGTGGGATGAGTGAGTTCCATGCTGAGACTCTCATACACCAGGGGCTGTGTGAGCTGGGTGGTTGGGTTTTAAGTACGTTATGGCTCTCTCTAATAATAACAACGCTGGCTACTTTTGAGACTTTTTTTTAACAGCAGAAATGTTACCATAGTTTTGCAAACTTTCAGGGAAGGCGTCTCCATGCCATTCTCCTAGGTTGGCACTTAAACCAAAGTGTGTCAGTGTGCCAGAAAGCTATCGGCATGACACCAGGATAGACACTTGAGTAGTTATGCAGCAATTTTAATACTCCTATTCCTATTTTTAAAAATTACGTATCAGATGCAGACAATAAGTTCTCCTTTAGGAATCATAGAATCTCGAAGTACAGAAGAACCCCTTTGGCCCATCAAGTCTGTACTGCTAAAAATATACCACTACCTACACTAATCCCACTTTCCCGCACTAAGACCAGAGCCTTGAATGTAATGACACTCCAAGTGCTCATCCAAGTGCTTTTAAAAAATTATGAGGTTTGCTACCTCAGGTACCCTCCTAGGCAGTGTATTCCAGACCTCACACCACCCTCTGGGTGAAAATGGTTTTCCCCAAATCCCCTCTAAGCCTCCTGCCTTTCACTTTAAAATTATGCCCCTTGTTCTTGACCCTTCAACCAAAGGGAACACAGCTTTCTATTCACCCTTTCCATGCCTCTTACAATCTTATACACCTCAATAGGGTCCCCCCTCAACCTTATCTGCTCTGAAGAAACCAACCCGAGCTTATTCAGCCTCTCTTCATGGCTAAACTGCTCCAACCCAGATAACATCCTGGTGAATTTCCTTTGCACTCCCTCCAGTGCAATCACATCTTTCCTTCAATGCAGTGTTCAGAACTGCACAGTACTCCAGCTGTGGCCTAACCAAAGTTCCATACAGCTCCAAGATGACCTCCCTGCTTTTATAATCTATGCCACAACTGATAAAGGCAATGTCCCGTATGCCTTCTTAAACACCCTATTAACCTGTGTGGTCAATTTCAGGGATCTGTGGCCAAGCTTCCCAAGATCCGTCTATTCCTCTGAGCTTCCTAATGTCCTGCCATTCATTGAGTACTTCCTTGTCCTGTTTCTTCTTCCAAAGTGTCTCACCTCATCTGGGTTAATATCCACCTGCCACTGATCTGCACATCTGATCAATCCCCCTGTAACCTAAAACTTTCTGCATCGCTGTCAACCATCCAGTCAATTGTTGTGTCATCCTCAAACTTACTCATCATCCCACCACATTCTCAACTATCAGTGAGCAAAGGCTATGTTGGAAACCTACAGGACAGAATTATGGAAGGATACTTTCTGGTATGTCCTTTGCAGTTGCAGGTCTTACACTATTAACGGGGATTCCAAATATTGTTGTGCATTTCTCTCTTCAATAGACAGAATCTAACATCTCAAATAAAATGTACTCAACAGAATGAGCACAATAAATTCTTGAGAAGTACATAAAGAACATAGTGCTGGAGAAACTTAGCAGGTCTTGCAACATCTGTGGATAGAGAAGCACAGTCACACTGGACTTGATGTGTTACTTCTACTTCTCTCCCCATACATGCTGCCACAATTGCTGAGTTTCTCCAGCACTTCTTTTAAATTCCACATCTCCACCCTCTGCTATAATTTACTTTAATTAAATTCTTCAGAAGATTCTGCAATCTGAAGATTTTAATTTCACCTCTATACTGACAGGCATGAAAGTATCTAACAACCCTCCTAAAGTTAGCTGAAGAAAGCATCATGTGGCTGTGCATTTGAAATCAGAAAATTGCAATTAAGTATTGACTTTAATGTACTGATGACTGTAACCTGAAATAGGTTGCTAATGGGCATCTAAATTATTTAGTCGTTTAGAAGACAAGAGCATTAACTCTGAAGTTTAGCTTCAAATTTATCCTGTGTAGACAGAAACAAAACAAAGTTGCTGGAAAAGCTCAGCAGGTCTGGCAGCATCTGTGAAGGAAAAAACAGAGTTAACGTTTCGGGTCAGGCGACCCTTCCTCAAAGGGGCCTTATTTATCCTGTGTAGACTCCAGCAGACACTGAATTCAAATCCAAATTAAATTTCAGCATCATTACTTGTCAGCCCAAACCCCTAACACTAAACTTCCTCCACAACTCTCTATTAGATTGAACAGAGGGGCAAAATCATACAGGGTTGAAACTGGGTGTTTTAGCACTGTAATGAGCTGGTAACCTGTTCATTCTTAAGTTTCCCTCCGTCAGCCAAATTTTCACCACTCCGCTCTTGACGGAGTGAACTCATGTTGTACATGCAGGTGGCTTGCCGTGTCAAACATGAGCAGCCAGTAGGGAAATCCTCAAGAATGGGTGTGGATTGGCAGTGGGTCAATGATTTTTACGAAAATGCATCATCTATTTGATTTGGGGAGCACCATTGGCTTCCATGAGCTCACATCTCAAAAGGAGGCACTCGAACGCAAGTGAGAGGCAAGCTCACCAAAGAGATTTCGTAATTGGAAATCGATGGCCACTTCTTTGCGGAACTAAAGGCTCTGATCTCCTGAGCCATGGCAAAGATGAGTGCATTGTTGTTATACTTGAAAGTCAATGAACATTTCTTCTGGGGCCGTTTTATTCTGGCTTTATCAGAAATCAGCAGCACAGCATAGCATCCCTCAGGGAACTTTGCTAAAGTTGAGAAATATGATGGGAAGACAGGACACACCCCTGTTTTATGGTACTAGCTGCCATATGATAAGTTTTTAAAGGTCCAGCCTTTGAATATCAGTGAATGAGAGGGTGAATGGGGGAAGGATGGAGAGGTGAGTGAGTGAGTGAATGGGTAGGTGGGTGAGATGGCTAAGGTGGCATTTGGGAGAGTGGGAAGTGGGGTTGTTAGTTGGGTCAGGCCTATGACAGGTTAGTCAGAAAGGCAGTTGGTTCAGGAGAGTAGTTGGGAAGAATGATCAGAAGTAGTCAGGTGGTCAGACAATAGACAGGTAAGTTCAGGTTGTGTGTAGTCGGGCCAGGGTTAGTTGGAGTGTCAGGGGATTGGTTCGTGGGAGGAGGGGGTGTCAGTATGGAATTACTCAGAGGTTAGACTAAGTAGTTTTGTGCTTGATATTTCCAGAATAAGTCCAAGTAAGTACCAGGGAAGTATCTAAATTCCCTCACTCTAGCTCAGGGTCAGAGATATTCACACAGAATCCTGCTCATTGATAGTTAGTCTTTCTATGTAATTCTCATATACATCCTCATGTTAGGACTTCCACAGGAGTCCAAAGTGCAGCTGGATAGGCTGAGACTTGTTCATTGGAGCGTAGAAGGTTGAGAGGCGACCTTATAAAAGTTTATAAAATAACGAGGGGTGCAGATGGAGTTCATGGTAGTTGTTTTTTCCCTAGGATGGGGGATTTCAAGACTAGGGGGCACATTTTTAAGGTGACATGACAGGAGAGAGATTTGAAAAAGACATGAGGGGCAATTTTTTACACAGAGGGTGGTTCACATGTGGAATGAACTTCCTGATGAAGTGGTGGATGTGGGTAAAATTATAACGTTTAAAAGACATTTGGAGAAGGACATGAATAGGAAAGGTTTCCAGGGATATGGGCTAGGAGCAGGCAGGTGGGACTAATTTAGTTTGCGTGGAAGGTTGGATTGAAGGGTCTGTTTCGGTGCTGCCAGTACTGTTGTTGACTGCTAACTGACCTCTGAAGTTGCCTAGGCAGCTATTCAATTGTATAACCACTAAAAATACTGCATCAGGTTAAGAATGTGGGCCACCATCACCTTTACAAGGCAACTACAAATGATTGATAATTGCAGGCCACTTCTTGAGAGGAAAAAACATATTGACTTGCTCAGCCTGAAGGCACAACGATTTGGCTCCTGTGGTTTAGCGATGAGCGTTTTACTTTTTTTAAAAGCTTCTTTTTTATATACTCACTCATACTATTTATTTTATTCAAACAGTTCATCCATTCTCACACCAAACTTTGCAATAATCATCTGTTAAAGGCTGCCTCTTGGCAAAAGCAGGAGATCTTCATGCCAGTAATTAATAAGTACAACACTGACTTCTGTGCTTTTGTAGATGTCTCATTGGTATAGTGTGTGATGTGAACCAAGGATGCAATTTGCAAGCATGTGTCTATACTTTGTCCAAAAGTAAACTGCTGAATATCATCCAGGAAGATGTATGTAGGGACTAGATGAGCTTCAGCGACAAATGAATGGACTTTTGGAATCGGGCTGTTAATTTACTGCTGGCATTTTCAGCATTTTTACAATGGTCATGATCCCCATCAAAAGTTACTTGAGCACAGAGAGCCAAAATCAATGTTCGTTCTCTACTTCCTCTGGTAATGAATTCCACATTCCCTAAGATGACAACAAATTTAAACTCAGTTACAAAATCTGAAAGAACCAACTTCAAAATCCATTCTACCACCATCTTGGAGTTTGCTCATATTGGTCTGGTTGATCTCATGATTGTTCCTTTGAATATTTTTTTAAAAATATGAAAACAAGTGGATATCTATCACTCACCAGTTTCACACAGATGATGAAAGGGGGCTTGGCTTGTGTAAAATGAAAAATAGGAACTTTTGGCTTTGGCTTGTCCTGGAAGAAACAAGAATGTGTGTCAGCACACCACAGGGATTATGCTCCCAAAATGTTGACATATTGAAGAATGTGTCATTCTCAGACTGGTGAATCATTGGAATTGGACCTTTCTTGTATGAAATACCTTGAGGGATGATAATATGATAAAGGTTCTGTAGTAATGTAACTTATTTAATGTAAGATTTCTAAGAGAATCCGAATGGAGTTAAAAACTTGCGTGTGTGTGCAAGCGTGTGCATTTGATGAACCTGATTTTATTTCTGTCATAGCTTAAATTTTGGATGCTAAAACAAAAATTAACTATTTTAGTTTCATGAGAATGGTATTCTATAATTTTATATACCCCCATTCCATTATTATTCTCATCAGTCTGACAGTCTTACACAGCTTTTTAGGGGATGGTGGCAGGTTCTCTGCCTCTGTACAGATATGTGTTGTTATGACATTCAGTAGAATGCCAAACAATAAGGAGCTTTAAGTCTACTGCTTAAAAACTCTTGATTTGGCTCACATTTTACACATGGGGCACCAGGTAGATTGTGCAATTCCTAATTTTGAAGAAAAATATTGACAAAAACGTATCTACACAAAAAATTCACTGTTGCGAAGATGCATTCTGGACGAATAAGAAGGCAAACATAGAAACGTAGAAGACAGGAGCAGGAGGAGGCCATTCAGCCCTCTGAGCCTGCTCCGCCATTCATCTTGATCATGGCTGATCGTCCAACTCTACAGCCTAATCCCGCTTTCATAGAGTCATAGAGTTGCACAGCATGGAAACAGACCTTTTGGTCTAGCTTGTCCATGCTGACCAAATATTGTAAATTAATCTAGACCCATTTGGCCCATATCCCTCCAAACCCTTCCTATTCACAGACTCATCCAGATGCCTGTCATAACCTTTGATCCCATTCACCCCAAGTGCTATATCTAGTCACCCCTTGAAATCATTCAATGTTTTGGCATCAACTACTACCTGTGGTAATCAGTTCCACAGGCTCACCACTCTTTGGGTGAAGAAATGTCTCCTCATCTCTGTCCTAAATGCTTTACCCCAAATTCTCATACTGTGACCCCTGGTGCTGGACACACCCACCATTGGGAATATCTTCCCTGCATCTGCCCTGTCTAGTACTGTTAGAATTTTATAAGTCTCTATGCAATCCCCCCTCATTTGTCTGAACTCCAGCGAAAACAATCCTAACCTAGTCAATCTTTCCTCATATGTCAGTCCCTCGAATCAGCCTGGTAAACCTTCGCTACATTCCCTTGAGAGCAAGAGTATCCTTCCTCAGAAAAATCCAGAGTAAAGAACATTTTCAAAATTTGATAAGCTCATTGGTTAAAACAAGGGAATGTGTGAGATAAGACTATTTGAATCATTGCAATATGCATAATGTTGACTTTAAATAAAACCTATGATCAGTGTAACCTTGTTAAAAACAAAATGTTGTGCAATTGTTGGACAGGGTACTTGCTTGTTTGTGTCAGGCACCAGCGTTTTTCCTTACAGATGTCTGATATCACAGAATCACAAAGATTCAATTACCACTTTTATCACTTCCTTTACAGGGAGTACTCTGTCATCAGGAAGCACTTTATCAGGTGGCCTGCCTGTGACCCAGAGAAACATACGCAGCTGACTGTCAGTTCAGACAGGAAATGTAATCAGCGTTTTCACTGTGAAGGTCCAACTCTAAAGGTACAGGCACAGGTGAAAAATGTGCAGGAATGCATTCATTTCTCAACTGCAGTGTTGGAACAAAATAGTTATACATGTCGCTGACATTGTAATTATCATATGAATCCAATATGAATCAGGAATCAAGGATGCTGGAGTGAAGTTAAGTAAGGCACACTGGAGGGAGTCTAGTCGTATGTTCAAGTGAAGATTTAGTGTTGATGTAAATCTCAAGCCCCATTGCACTGGCATTAAATTTGTACATAAAGCTTAAAATATAAGGGGTTCTGGTATTCAAAGGGTTAAACGTGTGGGAGTCAGTAATCTTACCAGTTTGTGCTGTGAGCTATCAGTTTAGCTAAGTGTCAATTACATCATTATCTGTTTATCATTCATCTTTATTGTTTTTATAACCTGTCTCAACTAAGTACAGTGTGAAGCATCTATTGCAAGATGTCACCACACGCTACTCACCCATCCAGTTAACCAGGATTAAAGTACCAGTATACATATGTACTAAGAATAATGGACACTGCAGTATCAATTACAAAGCATTAATCGTTCAGAATAAATAGTTTTATCAATAAGGGGGAATGCACAGTGGCGATGTTGTTGGACCAGTAATTAAATGGGCTAGACTAAATCCAGAGATATGGGTCCAAATCCCACCAAGGTGGCCAGGGAAATTTAAACACAGTTACATAATAAATCTAGGATAAATGCAAGACTTCTTAATTATAAAAATGAAATACTGGGTTGTCGTAAAAAGAAATTAGTTCACAGATATCTTTCAGGGGAGGAAATTTGCTGTCTTTACCTGAGCTGACTCCAGGCCCACAACAATGTTATTGAGTTTTACACTGTCCGCCTATGCACCATCATGTACTTAAGAATGTGCAATAAATTCTGGCCCCGTCAAAATGCATCCCAAGAACAAGTAAAAAAATTAAAACTTTGATTTAAAAATTTGAAATTCCTGAAATATTACAATATCTTGGTCTCGTATCAAAATTAGACTTGTGAAAGATGATTGTTTTCTTTCAAGATCTCACATGAATGGGCTCATTGGAAAATAATTTTATGTAGATTCTACAGCAATTACACATAATGGTACTTTGGTATTTTCAGTAAACAGGGTATTGTTTTCTCATATTAGTGTTCCGTTATACAGTGTGTGGGCCATGAATACCAACAGATTATAGGGGTCAAAATTGAGGAAGAGATGAAGAGCTGCATGTGGAGGGTTTTGCTTACCCGACGGCCTCTATCACAATCCAAATGGGATTGGGAACTCAGTCAATGGGGGTATACCTATGCTTTCACTCAGTGGATCCCGGGAAATCAAACTCTTTAAAACATCCATTTGGAATGAAATGACAGAAAAACTAACTGTACACTGGTATTTGGTGTTCTGTTCAGGTGAATCAGAGGGAATGTGGGGCCAGGAGTTCTTTGCTGTAATGTATTTAACACTGGAGCAAAGTAGAACAGTATTTAAAAGACGGTTTCTTACCTTTGACTCTTGATAAGTGTAGAAACCCTTTGTTATCTTACTTTGATCTACATCACAAAAGGACACAACCTGTAGAAGGTAGAACCCATAGTTAGCATTATTTATATATTAACAATGTTCAGTATTTCAAATGGTGGTATAGTAATGGACAATCTTTACTAGCAGATTTTGAACTATTCAGAACATGAGTTCCCATATTCTTCGAGTATTCAACGGAGTCAATAGTAACACACATACATTGCAGCTAACAAGCAAACAAAGCATTCAAATGCATATAAAACACGTTACATACCACATTAAAACATGAACAGGAAACCTAGTTACTATGGCAACTGTCAACAAATCGTTTTGCTGTCTTTCTGATGGTGCTTGTGCACAGATGGGTGTGTCACAAGAATATACTGAATAGATTTGTTTCATTTGTGACCTCCCATTGATATTCCGGGACAGTATCTTCACCCCAAGTGAGAAAAAATGTGGACTTACACAGTTCTTTTCATGACCTCGGGTCATCCCTTTACATCCAATGAACTTTTCTGAACAGGATAGAATGTCATACTGTAGGAAACGCAGCAGGCAATTTCCACAAAGCAAACCTTTCGGTATAAATTTTCATTTGACGAATGACGTTCCATACTTGTAAAATTAATTACTCAGGGCCAGAGAAGTTGATCAGTAATAATTATGCATAATTCAAACATATTAATAATAGGAAAAGACTAATGAAGGATTGAGAACAGCCATAAGGAACAAGGAGGGTAAGCTGCTCACTGAAGCAAAGGGTATGGCAGAGGTACTAAATTAATACTTCACTTCTGTTTTCACTAAAATAGAAAATGGTGACAATGGCCCAGTTGAAAATGTGGGTGTTGAACAACTGAGCAGTATCATGATAGATAAAGAAGCGGTGTTACGGTGGCTCAGTGGTTAGCACTACTGCCTCACAGCGACAGGGACCCGGGTTCGATTCCACCCTTGGGCGACTGTCTGTGTGGAGTTTGCACATTCTCCCCATGTCTGTGTGGGTTTCCTCCCACAGTTCAAAGATGTGCAGGGTTGGTGGATTGGCCATGCTTAATCACCTGTTGTATCTGGGGATGTGTGGGTTATAGGGGAATGGATCTGGGTGGGATGCTCTGTGGACTTGTTGGGCCGAAGGGCCTGTTTCTACACTGTAGTGATTCTATGAAAAAAGGCTGATAGCACTCCGAATAGAGAAGTCAGCAAGCCTGGATGGGATGCATCCTAGATTGCTCATAGAGGTAGTGGAGCCATTGGCAGAAATTTTCCACACTGCTCTGAACAAAGGACTCATCCCAGGAGGATTGCAAATGTGACACCATTGTTTTCGAAAGGGGCAAAGGATAACCCAGGAAACTACAGACCTGTCAGCTTGACTTCACTAAAGGGAAAGGTGATAGAGATCATAATACAGGATGAGATAAATATAGACAGAGCAAAATAAGGTACTACTAGACAGTCAACGTGGCTTTGTCAAAGGCAGGTCATGTCTGACAAATTTAATTAAATTCTTTGACGAGGTGACATGGGCAGTAGATGAGAATGGTGCTGTGGATGTTGTAGATTTGGACTTTCAGAAAGCATTTGATACAGTGCCACATGGCAGGTTGGTTAGCAAATTAGAAACATTTGGCAATGGATGTGTCTTTGGCAGCATGGATTAGAATTTGGCTAAAAGATAGGAAACATAGTGTAGTATGGATGGGCATTTCTCAGTCTGGAAACAAGTTGAAAGTGGTGTTTCCCAGGGACCGGTGTTGAGACCCTTGGTTTTCCTGACTTATATAAATGATTTGGAGATGGCTGTTGAAGGCAAAATTTCTAAATTTTCAGATGATGCTAAGCCAGGGAGAATAATGAACTTTGAGGATTATGCTGAGTGACTTCAGAGGGACACTAACCAGTTGGCCAAATGGGTAGACACTTAGCAGATGAATTTCAATTCAGAGAAATGTGAGGTAATGCAGTTTGGTAGAAGAAAGATGGAATGACCATACACGCTCAATGGTTTTGAGGTTTTGAGGAGAGTACAGGAGCAGACGGACCTTGGGGTTCACATGCATAATTGATTGATTTATTGTCACATGTACCGAAGTACAATGTAAAGCTTTGTTTATGAGTAGTACAGGCAGATCATAGTAAGTAAGGATGTACAGATCAAAGGTTGTAAAAAGCTTAGACAGAGGCATGCATGTTACATTGCACAGGGCGTGCGCTAGGCGAGATCAATGTTAGCAAGATCAGCATTATTTGAGGCTAGAGAGTCTGTTCATTAGTTTAATAATGGCCAGGAAGAAACTGTTCCTGAACCTGCTGGTGTGTGTGTTCAAGCTTCTGTATCTTCTGCCTGAGAGTAGAGGTTGTAGGAGATCGTTATGGGGGTGTGATGGGTCTTTGATGATGTTGGCAGCTTTTCTGCAGCAGCGAGCTGTGTAAATGGAGTCCATGGATGGAAGGTTGGCTTCTGTGATAGTTTGGGCCGTGTACACAACTTTCTGTCGTTTCTTACAGTCCTGGGCAGAGCAGTTGCCGTACCATCTCGTTATGCACCCGGACAGTATGCTTTCAATATTGTATCTGTGGAAGTTGGTGACGGTCCTTACGGACATGCCAAATTTCCTGAGCCACCTGAGGAAGAAGAGGTGTTGTTGTGCCTTCTTGACCATCGCATCCACATGGGAAGTCCAAGACAGATTGTCGGTTATCGTCACTCTGAGGAACTTGATGCTCTCCACCCTCTCAACCTCAGTTCCATAGATGGGGGCATGTTCTCTTCCTTTCTTTCTGAAGTCAATGATCATTTCTTCTCCAAAGGCAAGTTGAAACAGTTGTTAGGCTTATAGGATTCTTGGGTTTATAAATAGAGGCATAGGGTATAAAAGTAAGGATGTGATGTTACACCTCTACAAGTCATTGGTCAGACCAAATTTGAAGTATTGTGTCCAGTTCTGGGCACCTTATTTAAAGAAGGAAGTTAAAGCCTTGGCGAGAGTGCAAATGAGATTTACGAGAATGCTACCAGGAATGAGGGATTTTAAAGACAAGGAAGATTTAGAGAGGTTGGGCTTATTCTTCTTGGAGCAGAGAAGATTAAGAGGTGACCTGATTGAGATGTTCAAAATTATGAACACTTTTGACAGATTAAAGAAGGATATTCTGTTTCCACTAGTTGGTGTATCCATAACCATTGGGTCACAACTTCAAGACTGTCAGTAAGGGAGCTAGGAGTGAGATCAGGAGAAATTTCTCTACTCAGAGTTAGGATTTTGAATGTACTGTCTGGGAGAGTGGCGGAGGTGGATTCCATAGTAGGTTTCAAATGAAAGCTAGATATATATTTGGAAGGGATGAATTTAGAGAGATATGGAGGTCCAGCTGGAGAATGGGACCAGCTGGGTAACTCTTTCAGGAACCAGTATTGGCACAATGGGTCAAATGGCCTCCTTCTGTACTGTAAAATTCTATGATTCTATCATTACAATGTTGTTAAAAACCTATTAAGGCCTGCTTGAACAAGGCTGTGTTCTTCACTTGGCTTTGGCATAATAATAGTGGTGAAGTAGTTTAATCACATATCTTAACAATGATTTCTGTGTGGATTCTATCCGGGAAGTCTGCACCAGTGTAGACCACGGAGGGACAGAACGGTTGGAACTGCAATTGGTACCAATTGGTTTGAAAAGAGAAAAGTGATCCACTGTGCTGACAGCAAAGACAATAAGATACAAACATTGTATGGCTGGGGGCACGTAAGGCAGAAGTCATACTCTAAAGTTGTGGAACTCAACAATGAGTCTTTGTGGCAGTAAAGTGGAAAATGAGGTGTAGTTCCTCCAACTTGCATTGAACTCCAGCTTCATTTGAACACCATACCAGGCCAAGGATGGAAATATTAGCATGGCAGCAAGGTTTTTTAATATGGTTACCACAGTTTAATGTCTCATGTGAGAGATGGCACGTATGACTGTGCAGCTGTCTGTCTATACAGTACCACGAAGAAATGTCAGCTTACATTATGTCCTCCAGGTTCTGGAGTGAGGCTTGAACACCCAACTTCCTAAGTCAGGTTTCAACCACTGAGCCAAGAACAGCACCAACATAGAGCAACAATTTAGTCTGGTCCTGTGTATAAATTAATTTTTGAATTCTAAATTTAATTTGGACATTTTCAAACAGATCTGAGATGTTGTTATTAGCACTGATTTACTGGTGCACTGAACTCTGCACTTACAGCATTTCGGCTTATTACGATAAATTCTGAGATGTTCTTTCTCCTGGCTGGAGAGTTCATACCCCATGGGTCCGAGGCTCAGGATAAAGTGTCAGATGTTTAGGACAAATGGGAGCTATTTCTTCTCTCATAGGGCTGTAAACCTTCGGACTTCTTGACTCTAAAGGGAGATGGATGTTCAGTCACTAAGTATATTCAAATCCTGCAGATTTTTGACCACAAGGAGTATACAGAGATATGGGAATTGTGAAGGAAATGAGGTTGAGGTCAGAGATTAGGCATAGCTGTATTGAATGGTGCAGCAGGCTTGATGAGCCATATAATCTACTCCTTTATCTATTTCACATGTTCCCTCAGATCCACTCCACTGGAGTCATAGATTATCTGCTTCTTACTTATTGGTGTTCAAGTACGGTCACTGGGTTTCCAAGTCATGATCCTCTTTCGTTGGTCTACAATTCCATTCAAATTTTATATTCATACACTTGAGTATGCCACTACAATGCATAATGATGATGGATCATGTAAAGCCCAAGAAACCTACAACCATATGTAAAACCCACCTGTTGCGCTAATGACCATTTCTGCAACTTCCTCTTGCTTCATTAATATCTCTTGCTAATTCTGCAGATTAAGTTTAATTATAGCATGTGTACAAATGTTATAGGCTCCTCATTATTTTACACACAAACATGATCTTAGAGTTGAGGCAACATTTGCTTTCAATTTACTCATTTCATTCAGATTATTTTGTGTGTATTTTGCCACTGAGGTTGGTTTGAACTTTGTTATTTTGTAGATGGGGCTGAATGGTTAGAGAATTG